CTAACACTAAAGACCTTGCCATCACAGCCTGGCTGCCAGTTCTGTAGACATGTGAGGCAGGATGGAATAGAACCTGCTCTTCACACCTAGGCAAGAACCCATGCTGGCAGAAGTAAAAGTTGTCACTAAACTCAGAAGCTATGACTTGACATACTGTACAGATAAGTGCTTCATAACTCCCTTTCTTCAGGACTTTTTTTTCTTCATAAAACCTGAAGTTGACACCTGTCTTATTCCATTTTAGCTGCTAAGAAAACACCATATACTGAGTGACAAACAACAAAAATATATTTCTAAGAGTTCTAGAGACTTGGAAGTCCAAAATTATGATACTGACAGATTTGGTGCCTAGTAAGACCCCATTTCCTGGTCCAGATAGTCTTCATCTAAACTAAAATAGTGGAAGGAACTAACAAGCTCCCATGGGCCTCTTCTATAGGGGCCCTAATCCTGTTCATGAGGACTCTGCCCTCATACCCTAATCACGTCCCAAAGGTCCTACCTCCCAATACTATTTATTATTTTTGAGTTTAGAATTTCAACATATAAACCTCAGGGAGATTCAAACATTCAGATCATGGGAACAACACTTAATACCCTAATGGTTGGTAAGTAGATTTTCTGTTTTTGTTATTTTGAGGTTGTTTTTTTTTCCTCCTATAGTTTATTTCTTTGATTTTTGTCCATTGAGATCTCTAGAACCTATACAACACAAAAATATTGGAGCCATGTGTGGTGGTGCACACGTAAATCCTAGCACTTGGGAGGCTGAAGTAAGAGTTTAGGCTAGCCAGGCACCAGTGGCTCACACCTGTAAAGACGCTGAGCCCTGAGGATCACAGCCAGCCTGGGAAGGAAAGTCCGTGAGACTCTTATCTCCAATAAACTACCAGAAAACCAGAAGTGGTTCTGTGGCTCGCCTTGAGCTGAAGAGCTGAGGGACAGCGCCGAAGCCCAGAGTTCAAGCCCCACAAATGACAAAAAAAGCATTTGAGGTTAGCTAGGGCTCTTTAACTTTAACATAACCTTGTGTGTGTGTGTGTGTGTGTGTGTGTGTGTGTGTGTGTGTGTGTGTGTGTGTGTGTGTGTGTGTGTGTGTGTGTGTGTGTAAGATGTGTATTTAAGACATTTACCTTATTTCTATCCTTTGATCTTATAAAGGGTATAAAAAAATAAAAAAGAAAGCCTGATGGGGGGAAAGCTTAGTATATACAAAAAGGTTAGTATCCTGGGCTGGGAAGGTGGCTCAGTGGTAGAACGCTTGCCTTGCATGCATGAGGCCCTGGGTTCGACTCCCCAGCACCACATAAGAAAAAAAAAAGCCGGAAGTGGCACTGTGGCTCAAGTAGTAGAGTGCTAGCCTTGAGCTGAAGACATTGCACAGGCCCAGACTTCAGGCCCCACGACTGGACCCCCCCCCCCCCAAAAAAAAAAAAAAAGGTTAGTATCCTTAACATGGGAAGTCACCTATGCCTTATCACCCTAATAGAAAATGAGGCAAAAGGATGGAATTTCCTCACTGTCTCATTTCTTATTTTTCATGCTCATACATAAAACTTTCTGCTTTAGTAGACCAATTAATAGCAGACTTTCTTTATTTCCTTTGTGATGTTGAATGTCAAACCCAGGGCCTTACACATGATAGGCCAACACTGCCACTGAGCTGCATTCCCAGCCTTATTTTGTATGTATATACTTAAATTTTATTAAGGAAATAAGTATATGTATATGTATACATACATGTTATGTTCATCAAATGTTGCAATTCAGTTCAAAGAGGCAGAGTTCTAGATAATTTTCACATACTTCCGTTTGTATTTCCTCAGTTTCCTAAATGATTTTTTTAGGCCACATTTAAAAAATAAGATTTGAGCAAAAAACACAAAAGGAGGTGAGTTGGCTAATAGATGTTAGGAAGTTCAGTCCATGCCTTACAAAGTGTATCTGTTATGTATAGAAATAGGGTCTATTACATATAGAAAATAGTCAGAAGGAAAGTGATAGGAAACACTGTCAGAGAAGGAACAAAGCCAGATCATTTATGACCCTTGGATGAGGCTAAAAATTAAATGAAAAGCTTTTGTAGGTGTGACTCAATTTGGCATTCATCCTAAAAGACCATTATGTAAAATGTCTCCAGAAAAGATGTATTAATGGATTAAAAGAGTAATGAGCCGGGTGCTGGTGGCTCATGCCTGTAATCCTAGCTATTCAGGAGGCTGAGATCTGAGGATCATGGTTCAAAGCCAACTTGGGAGGGAAAGTCCATGAGACTCATATCCTATTAACAACCAGAAAACCGGAAGTGGTGCTGTGGCTCAAGTGATAAAGCACTTGCCTTGAGTTGAAGAGCTCAGGGACATGCCCAGGCCCAGAGTTCAAGCCCCACAGCCAACACCACCACCACCAAGGCAGGCTCTTGTGGCTCATGCTTGTTATCCTAGTTACTCGGGAGGCTAAGATCTAGAGGATCACAATTAGAAGCCACACTGGACAGAAAAGTCTTGGAAGACTCTGTCTCCAAAATAATCATTAAAAAGCTAGGTTGAGTAAGTAATGGTGGTTCATCCCTTTAATCTATTCAAAAGGCTGAGATCTCAGGATCATGATTTAGAGCCAACCTAGGCAGAAAAATCTGAGAGACTCTTATTTCCAGTTAATCAGCAAAAAGAAGTACAGGCATTGCTGAAGTGGTTGAGCACTACCCATGAGTGAAAAAGTAGAGGAAAAGCAAAAGGCCTAGGTGTAAACTCAAATACACACGTGCGTGTGTGCATGCATGCGTGTGTGTGTGCACACACACACACACAAAGTTGGGCTAGGAACATGAATATGGCTCAAATGGTAGAGCACAGGCTTGGGGGGCAAAAAAAACTCAGGGATAGTGCCTAGGCCCTGGCTTTGAAACCTCATTCCCACCAAAGAGAAAAAAACACAAAAAAATGTTGACTAAAGAATGAGAGCTGGGCTGGGTGTCGGTGGCTCATGCCTGTAATCCTAGCTACTCAGGAGGCTGAGATCTGAGGATCATGGTTCAAAGCCAGCCCAGGCAAAAAAAAGTCCATGAGACTTACTTTCCTGCCTAGGCTGGCTTTGAAACTCTTATCTCCAGTAAACCACCAGAAAACCAGAAGTGGTACTGTGGCTCAAGTGGTAGAGTACTAGTCTTGAGTGAGGGAGTGCATAGGCCCAGAGTTCAAGCCCCATGACCGACCAAAAAAAAAAAAAGAATGAGGGCTGGGCCATGGCTCAAGTGGTAGAGTGCCTGCCTAGGAAGTATAAGTCGCCGAGTCCAAATCCCAATACCTCTTCCCCCCCAAAGAAAAGGAAATGTAAATGTAACCTTGATAATATAATTTAATTCTGTATCATTTTATAAACTAGTTCTTAACATGTATCTGAATAGCTTTCTTATAAGGGAATTCTGCATCCCAATTTGCATTTTCTCACTTTGATTATGAGGCAAAATCTGGATGATAAAACTTAAAATCGTTAAGAGGATCAATAGTGAAATATTTCCATATAATAAATGTCGTTGTAGGAACAAAATTTAAAAGTAAAATACATATTCTTGCTGCTGTGTTTTAGCAATCTAGAGATCTTGGGCCAGAGTGATAACAGTACAAATGATAAGTATTTTAATCAGAGCTGAATTTTTGAAAGAATTTTCTTCTGGGGGAGATAAATATCAAAGACAACTACAAAGTTTGTGGTTGGTGGTATAAGCAACTTCATCATGGACATTATTTAAAGAAATTTCCATTTCCAAGAGGGTGAACATGTATAGAAAAGAGGACCTTGAGGGGGCTGGGAAGTTGGCTCAGTGGTAAAGTGCTTGCCTCACATGTGTGAGACCCTGGGTTCAATTCCTTAGCACCACATAAGCAGAAAGAAGTGGCACTGTGGCTCAAGTGGTAGGGCACTAGCCTTGAGCTGAAGAGCTGAGGGATAGCGCCCAGGCGCTGGGTTCAGGCCCCATGACCTACCAAAAAAAGAAAGAAAGAAAAGAAAAGAGGACCTGGGATATTTCAGCATTAAATGAGTAGAGAGTAAAGGAGAATAACCTAAGGAGATTTAGAAACATCCATCAGTGAGGCTGAAGGAAAGAAGAGAAGTTTGGTATCCTAAAAACATTTGGAAAAAAGGTCTCAAGGAGTTTTTCAACTGTTAATATAATGTGCTACCATTTCCCCTGTTTTCACACCATCCTTTTTGTTAAGAAACTTGAAGTTGGAAATTGTACTGAAGAAAGTTACATTGGAATAAAATCATGAAATTCATCCACACTAAAAATTTTTAAATGCAGGCCACATAAGACCTGAATATTCTAGACATAGCAAAAGATAATTCTTCAATGACATTAACATTAGTGTGCTTTGTAAGAATTCTGAACTCCACATCCCAAGGATGTGAGCCTCTAGGCTTTGATCCTCTGCCTTGTGCTGACTGAATAAAACCCTGAGGGTACAGCAGAATACAAAGCATGGGAAGCTTGAAATTTTAGTAAGAAGGTTTCATAAACTTGTACAGAGTTAAATAATAAAATAATTAAGTGCAGACGGTAGAACAGCTTAGACTTGAACTAATCCTTTTTACATGGTTTGGAGGAGCCCCTTCCTTTCTAAGGGTGGGTGGTGGGCTTTTCCTTTGGTGGCCTAGGATGGGATGAGAGGACCTCCAGTTACATGTCTGAGACCTGGAGACAGTTGGCCTTCATACTTTCCCTGGCCTGGCTGTTATTTTATATGCCTACCTTTGGTTTTGTCTTCTATAAATGTAGTTCATTTGCTTGTTTATTTCTGCTTTTAAGCATATAAATTCTTTTATTATGGCAATGTTTTACCATATGAAAATTCTAAAGTTTTATCTTACTGGATTAGATGTTTCCTTTCCTTAAACTTAACCAACTTAGAGAATGAAGTTATTTTTTACATCTGATGACTACTTTGAGGGGATTAGGGCCTGAATTCTCTGAACTCTCCTTAACTTGAAACCTCAAGCTATGTTGTAACAGAATTGATGCAGAGTGACCTACATAAAATTATCGTCTCTCCTCAGCCACTCAGCTCAGATCATGTCAAAGTTTTTCTTTATCAGATTTTGCGAGGTAAGACTTTATGATGATAAAGGTAATGTCATGGTATACATGAAATGTTTTGCTTTTTGTTTGAACTTTAATATGGCCTTCCAAGTCTTGCTTTTCCTAAATACCTTTTAAAATTTAAAAAAAAAAGTTTCATTACTTTTTCAAATAAGGTGGTGCTGAGAATAAAATTAGAGGCATGATATGTATTATAGGCAAGCACTTCTACTACTGAGCTACATCCCCTGCTAGTAAGAGGGTTTGAAGTGATCAAATAGTTTAATTTTCATAAAGCTCCTATGAAATTCATTAGAGGTGACTGGGTTAATCTAGGAAGATACATAAGCAGTTATTTTGTTATAAGTCTGCTGAACTGCCTTGAGTTTTTGTCAGTATGTAGCGTGAGGTGACTTAATTAAACACTGGCTCTACCCCTGTGGATAATATCCATCCTGCAAACCAGCAGTAGGTGGGCTTGTCAGAATTCTAACTTGAAACAAAATTTTAAAAAAACAAAAATCCTTAAAAAAGCAAAGCAGGGGGCTGGGAAGGTGGCTCAGTGGTAGAGTGCTTGACTTGCATGTATGAGGCCCTGTGTTCAGTTCCTTAGCACCACATAAGCAGAAAAGGCTGGAAGTGGTGCTGTGGCCCAAGTGGTAGAGCGTTAGCCTTGAGCTGAAGAGCTGAGGGACAGCACCCAGGCCCAGAGTTCAAGCCCCTTGGCCAACAAAAAAAAAAAAACAAAAAAAACTTAGGTGAAAATTCTACTGACTCCAGAAGCAGACACCTGCCTAGAATATGATGTAAGGGCTGAGTTCAAACCCCAGTACACACACACACCCCAGTACTGCAGCAGAAAACCACACACACACACACACACACACACACACAAAATTCTACTGACTCCAGAAGCAGACACCTGCCTAGAATATGATGTAAGGGCTGAGTTCAAACCCCAGTACACACACACACCCCAGTACTGCAGCAGAAAACCACACACACACACACACACACACACACACAAAATTCTACTGACTCCAGAAGCAGACACCTGCCTAGAATATGATGTAAGGGCTGAGTTCAAACCCCAGTACACACACACACCCCAGTACTGCAGCAGAAAACCACACACACACACACACACACAAAATTCTACTGACTCCAGAAGCAGACACCTGCCTAGAATATGATGTAAGGGCTGAGTTCAAACCCCAGTACACACACACACCCCAATACTGCAGCAGAAAACCACACACACACACACACACACACACACACCTGGAATCTCACTGCAGCAGAAAACACACACACACCTGGAATCTGAAAACCCCACACACACACACACACACACACACACACCTGGAATCTGAAAACCACACACACACACACACACACACACACACACACACACACACACACACACACACACACACACACACACACACACACACACACACACACACACACACACACACACACACACACACACACACACACACACACACCTGGAATCTCACTGAAAAATCAGTGCTTCATGTGTCCTTTACAATTATTTCAAACTGGAACAACTTCTTTACTTGGTGAAATGATCTTTCCACGGAATTATAGAATTGTTTAAAGAAAATGAAAAGTGAAAACACAAACAATATTAAAAGCTCGCTTCCAGTAGATTTGCTGATACTCTGTGGTAGGGCAAAATGGAGATTAATTGACTTTTTACACTTTGAAAAGACAGGACTTGCTCCATTTTATTCAAAGAAGACTCAACCTTGAAGCTGTGACTTTTAGAGGTGCCGAAATGCCAGTCTTTTTAAGATGTCAAAAATATTTAAAAAGTGATTAACTACCAGACTGGGAAGGTGGCTCAGTGGTAGAGCGCTTGCCTTGCATGCATGAGGCCCTGGGTTCAATTCCTCAGCACCACATAAGCAGGAAAAAAAAAAAAAAAGCTGGAAGTGGCGCTGTGGCTCAAGTGGTAGAATGCTAGCCTTGAGCTGAAGAGCTGAGGGACAGTGCCCAGGCCCAGAGTTCAGGCCCCACGACCAGACCAAAAAAAAAAAGTGATTAACTACCTTCTTCATTCTTGGTGGTGGAGAATACTACTGACAAAACCTAGACAAGTTTCTGAATTTTGTCATCAGAGGAAACTGTCCAGGGAAAGACTCTCTGTTAAAGGAAACTTGAAACTTTTTTTTTTTTTGAAGCAGCTTCATAATCATAGGTTGGGAGCATCAGTAACTAAACCCAGCAGCCACACTGATTAGTAATTCAGGGATATTGGTATGGTTAGTCTTAACTACACTGCCTAAGAAGCTTATCTGTGCTTAAGCTATATATTCTTTTAAGTTATAGACACTGTTTCTGGAATGTTGTGCAAACTTTTCATGATATTTCATTTTACTGCAGCAAAATTATACTTTTTTGAGGGGACTAAGGCAAGCTTTCTGTGATAATCATTATGCAGTTATTTAGGTAACAATTTTAAACCCTCTACTCTTCTAAGGTTTTTCCCAAGTCATTGGTTAAGTAAAAGGAATCAAATATCTGCAATTAAATCTGTTTGTTATTTCAGGTTTGAAATATCTCCATTCAGCTGGCATTTTGCATCGAGACATTAAGCCAGGGAATCTCCTTGTGAACAGCAATTGTGTTCTAAAGGTAGTCTTTCATTTTATTTAAAGATGTGAGAAAAATCAGAATATCAAGCTCTGAGAGACAGATTTTCTTTGTGAATCAGAGGCCTTTCTTTTGGTGCCTGCCCCAGGGCTTGACCTCAGGGCTGGATGCTGTCCTGAAGGTTTTTTTTGCTCAAGGCTAGCCCTCTATCACTTGAGCCACAGTTCCACTTCTGACATTTTTGGTGCTTAATTGGAGATAAAGAGTCTCGTGGACTTTTCCCGTCCTGGCTGGCTTCGAACTGTGATCCTCAGATCTCAGCTTCCTGAGTAGTATTATAGGTGTGAGCCATCAGCACCCAGAACAGCTTTTCATACCTGTAAATAAATAATAACTGCTGCTGTAGCTCTGTCGTAGTTGGAAGAGCTACCTTACAATTTTAGCCTACTTTTCAATTAAATTGAAATTGTTTATTCCTAGGTCTTCATATAAAGTAATCCATCTTTCTTTATGCTAAGAACGTAATCTGCCACTAGTCTATACACCTGGCCAGTCTTTATTACTTATTACTATGTCTCTAGATTTTAGCATGCTGTCTACTGTACTTTATTAAATACAGTATAACAATGAATTAGCCAGCAGCATAGGGTTCTATATTATACTAAATTTTAACATAATGCACATGTTTTGAATGTAAATTAGTACTTTAAGTAGATACAGGTGAGATTTGGATGAAATATTTGTGGAGCTCCTGAAGTATCTTGTCAGAACTAGATTCAGTAGATCTCCATTTGAAATCCGTAGCTTAAAAAAAAAGTTTGGCTATGTGTGTTATTTCATAAAGATGGTAAACATAACTTGAGCTAAGGAGTTCTTCAAGGTAAAATCCTTTTTTCATCCCTTTTTCTATAAGCCCATCTTAAAAATGGTTTACTTCCTTTTTTTTTTAATAGTTTGCTTTCTCTATAAAACCAAAATCATGCATTCAGCTTGTTTTTGGTTTAATTATTAGTTGAAAACAGATTAAAGATGATTAGAATTTCTTTAAAATACATCATTTTATATAGAAACATGGAAGCTTGAGATTTTTCTTCCTTCTTCTCCAAAGAAGGCTAGGTTGTATATTGACATAGGTATATTCTACCTGAATCATTAAAAACTTTGGAAAGTTTTGGTTTTTTTGTTCTTCCATATGTAAATATATTTGCCAGTGTTCTGATTGTTATTTCTATTTAGATTTGTGATTTTGGATTGGCCAGAGTGGAAGAATTAGATGAATCACGTCATATGACTCAGGAAGTTGTTACTCAGTATTATCGGGCTCCAGAAATCCTGATGGGCAGCCGCCATTACAGCAATGCCATTGACATCTGGTCTGTTGGATGTATATTTGCAGAACTACTAGGACGAAGAATATTGTTTCAGGCCCAGAGTCCTATTCAGCAGGTATGATTTTACATTAAGGATTTAGTAGCTTCCAGTTCTATTACAGATTTGAAGGAAAAAGCATCTTGCATATGCCTTAGGCTAATTTGTTGTTCTATATAATTTGCTTTCAGTAAATTTAGGTTTGCTTGAAATTCAGAAAGTTACAAAGTTAAAGATTACAGAGATTCATTTTGTAATTTCCTGTTAGAGGAAGTGTTGACTTTATTACATTCACTGATGCATAGCAGCAGACTCTGCTGTAACAATTTGCACAGGTATAATCTTCGGTTGTTAAAGGGCTCTGTTCTTTCTAACTGAATAGCTCTGACTTGAAAACATATTTGGTGACTTAGTGTACTTAAACTTTGTGCTTAAAGGGCTGGGAAGGTGGCTCAGTTGTAGAGTGCGTGCCTTGCATGCATGAGGCCCTGGGTTTGATTCCTCAGCACCAAATAAGCAGAAAAAGCCAGAAGTGGCACTATGGCTCAAGTGGTAGAGAGCTAGCCTTGAGCTGAAGAGCTGAGGGACAGCACCCAGGCTCAGAGTTCAGGTCCCACGACCGACAAAAAAAAAAAAAAACTTTGTGCTTAGAATATAAAATTTTAGTATTAAATTTTTTTTTTTTTTGTTGGTCGTGGGGCCTGAACTCTGGGCCTGGGCGCTGTCCCTCAGCTCTTCAGCTCAAGGCTAGCTAGCGCTCTACCACTTAAGCCATAGCACCACTTCCAGATTTTTTTTATTTTTGTCTGCTTATGTGGTGCTGAGGAATTGAACCCAGGGCCTCTTGCATGGAAGGCAAGTGCTCTACCACTGAGCCACCTTCCCAGCCTAGTATTAAATTCTTTAAATTCTTTTTGGAGATGATCCAAATTTAGCTTTAAGAAGCACTTCAAAAGGGCTGGGAAGATGGCTTAGTGGTAGAGGGCTTGCCTTGCATGCCTGAGGCCCTGGGTTCAATTCCTCAGCACCACATAAGCAAAATGAAAAAAGCCAGAAGTGGCGCTGTGGCTCAAGTGGTAGAGCGCTAGCCTTGAGCTGAAGAGCTGAGGGACAGCACCCAGGCCCAGAGTTCAGGCCCCACGACCGGACACAAAAAAAAAAAAAAGAAAGAAACACTTCAAAATAAAAGACATTGGGGAAGAGAAGGGAACAAGGAGGAAAGGAAAGAAGGCAGAAGGAAAGAAAGTTAATTAAAGAGACCTTTTGGTTGAGTGTAGTGCGACATACAGTATCAAAAGTTTGAGGCCGACGGGCACTGGTGGCTCATGCCTGTAATCCTAGCTACTCAGGAGGCTGAGATCTGAGGATCATTGTTCAAAGCCAACATAGGCAGGAAAGTCCATGGGACTCTTATCTCCAATAAACCACTCAGAAAACTGGAAGTAGCTCTGTGGCTCAAGTGGTAGAGCGCTAGCCTTGAGCTTAAGAGCTGAGTTCAAGGCCCAGAGTTCAAGTCCCACAACTGACCAACCCCCCCCTCCCCCCCCAAAAAAAGTTTAAGGCCCTCAGAAGTGGCTCTGTGGCTCACAGTGGTAGAGCATTCTGGGCAGGAAAATCTGAGAGACTCTTGCCTCCAATAAGCTTCTCAAAAAAAGCCAAAAGAGGAGCTGTATCTCAAGTAGTAGAGTGCTAACCTTCAGCAAAAAAGCTTTGAGATAGCACTCAGATCCTGAGTTCAAGCCCCAGGACCAGCACACACACAAAAAAAGAAAGATGAAAAGAACAATGGCACAAAATTTAAAAGAAGAAAGAAAAGAAAATTGTAATGCACACTAACTAGGGCAAAAACTCAAGACCCTCCCCAAAACCAAAAGTGCTGTGCGTATAGAAGTGGCCACGTAGCAGCATCAGATAGTCATCCCTCCCTATATCGTGGCACACTTCTTGCTACTTCATGCATTTTCACATGTTGCAGGGGTCTCTAGAATGTAGCTCCTGAGATAGGTGAGAGACTATTTACTTAATTTTTTAAAACCTACTTCCAGATTTTTGGTGGTTAATTAGAGATAGGAATATCATGAACTTTCCTGTTCAGTCTTTGAACCATGATCCTTATATTTCAGCCTTGTGTGAGTAGCTAGGATTATAGGCATGAGCCACCAGCATCCAGCAAGTATCTCATTTTCTAAAGAAATACATAGGTCATACTTAAGCTTGTTAGTCCAGCCTAACCACTGAAAGAGAATACTTTTTATCCTCAGTTTTTACAGCATACCTGTAATCCCAGCAGTTGGGAGGCTGAGGCAGAAGGATGGCAGGTTTGAAAGTGAGGGGAGAAAACAAAAAACAAAAAAAATGTAAAATACTGAAAGAATCCAACCTGTACCCTTGTATTTTCTCTGTATCTTTTAGAAATAAGTACCCTAACAACTGAACTACCAGAAAACTTCATAAAAATGTTCTTCATCCATGAATCTGACCCACTTACAACTTTCTGAATGTTGCCATAAGCCAATCATTTACTTTTTCCTGTAGTGTGGTTGTTAGTCCAAAAAGTATCACTGCCACTTTTCTCAGAAAGCTGTTCCTAAGGAAGCAAGTTTCTGAAGTACTGCCATTATCCTGAAAGGCAGTGATGCTGATGGCTACCCCACAGTTTAGATAAGTGCAGAAAATAGTGTTCTCCAGATAGGAATTTTCCATCCTGGAGGGATTCAAATGAAATGTTACTATTAATTAAGTTATAGTTATAATGATTGCTGTAGTACAGAACATTGGTAAGGTAGTTTGCTACAAAGATTTGTTTGACCATTTTATTGGTCTCCTTTGTTGTACCCATCTAGCTAAATGTGGCCTTACATAGTGTCATCATTTTCTAAGTATCAGTTTTCTAACAGTATAAGAGCTTTCTACCATGACTAGTATATAAAGTGTGGGGTATGTATTGGCCCAAACAGCAGGAGTATAGTTCTCATTTCAAGTATGAATATTTTGAGTATTAAATAATGCATGTCTGATTTTTATATTAGCTTTTGATGGGCTTTATTTCATTTGAAACATTAAAATCTAACTGTTTGAAAAGAAAAGACATTAGCTATCCTTAGAAACATAGATCAGCTCTGCAAGACACTAAGGCATGCAGATACAGACTCCAAAGCTGTTCTAGCCTTGGAAGGCCATGCCTACTAAAATGTTTTCCACATTTTTATTAGATGGAGCCCTAATAAATATTTTTTCCTCTGGTTTTTGTGTTGGTGGTGGTGGTGGTTGTGGGGCTTGAACTCTGGGTCTGGGCACTGTCCCTCAGCTCTTCAGCACAAGGCGAGTACTCTACCACTTGAGCCACAGCACCACTTCTGGTTTTTTTCTGCCCGGGCTGGCTTTAAACTGCAATTCTCAGATCTCAGCCTCCTGAGTAGCTAGAATTACAGGAGTAAGCCACAGGAAAGCACCTGGCTTTCCTTTGGTTTTTGTGCTTTGTTTTGTATTAGGGATTCAACCCAAGATCTCATGCTTGCTAGGCATGTGCTGTACCACTTAAGCTATACACCCAGCCATGATTTGAGTGTTTTGAAACCAAGTCTCACTATATAGCCCATTCTGGCCTCAAACTCACCATCCTTCTGCTTTAGCCTCTGAACTTCAGGGAGTACAGGTGTGCTGTTTTGTGATTGTTTATTGTGTAGGCCAGAAAAGGGGGCTTTTGTCAAGTTATCTAAAGCTTGCTTTAAGGTTTTCCTCCAAATTTGTCCTCATTTTTAAGACTGACTTAAGAGTAATGAAAGTTGATTCTGTGAGCTTACAGTCCACCTGTTTCATGTTTCCTTATAGTTGGATTTGATCACAGATCTGTTGGGCACACCATCACTGGAAGCAATGAGGACAGCTTGTGAAGGTGCTAAGGCACACATACTCAGGGGTCCTCATAAACAGGTAAGAATCGGGGAAGAATGTTATATCTAGTGACTATCTCTTCAGGAGACTTTCTTACAAAAAAAACATAATGTTTTGAGAGTTTTTTTAAACAGAAATGTTATTTGTACGGTTTTTTGTCTCCTAGTTTATGGGTATATATGGGTCTTTTGTTTCCTAGTTTATGGGTATATATGGGAAAAGCTATTGGGGATGGAGTGCTCAGTATGTGTTTATCAAGATAGCCTTTTCAAAGACCAGGGCACTGATGGTTCAAGCCTGTAATCCTAGCTACTCGGGAGGCTGAGATCTGAGGATCATGGTTCAAAGCCAGCCCAGGCCAAGAAAGCCTGTGAGACTCTTTTTTTTTTTTTTTTTTTTTTTTTTTTGGGTCCAGTCATGGGGCCTGAACTCTGAGCCTGGGTGTTGTCCCTCAGCTCAAGGCTAGCGTTACCACTTGAGCCACAGCGCCACTTCCAGCATTTTTTCTTTTTGCTTATGTGGTGCTGAGGAATTGAACCCAGGGCCTTATGCATGCAAGGCAAGCGCTCTACCACTGAGCCACCTTCCCAGCCCCCCGTGAGACTCTTATTTCCAATTCACCACTGGAAAACCAGAAGTGGCGCTGTGGCCCAAGTGGTAGAGCACTAGCCTTGAGCTGAAGAACTGAAGGACAGTGCCCAAGCCCAGAATTCAAGCCTCATGACCATCAAAAAAAGAAAAACAAGGGGCTGGGAAGGTGGCTCAGTGGTAGAGAGCTTGCCTTGCATGCATGAGGCCCTGGGTTCCATTCCTCAGCACCACGTAAGCAGAAAAAGCTAGAAGTGGAGCTGTGGCTCAAGTGGTAGAGTACTGGCCTTAAGCTGAAGATCTCAGGGACAGCGCTCAGGCCCCATGACAGACAAAAAAAAAAAAACCAAGATAGCCTTTCGAAACACTGAGCCAAAATACTTGGTGTCTCTTATTTCAGCAAAACGTGTGAAGCTTTTGCTTTTGCACTTTTGTCACTAACACAAAATCAGATGTGAATGCTGTTAAAAAAGAAACATGAAGAGAGATGGCCAGATTTGTACTCATCAGATTTTTCCTTATTACAAGCCAAATCACTGCGGAAAAAGACAAGATGGTTTTTAATCTCTACTCTTTTGACTTAGCAGCAATTTTTACCAGCGCTTTCCTAACCCCTATAGAGAAAATAGCTTAAAATGATGTGAAGGACATGAGTAAGGGAAGCAAGTACTTCTAGGAACACTAATACAGAACAGGATGAACAAGCAACTAGTTTTCCTGAATTGTGCCTTGATTTCTTTTAAATTGGGCATTTAGATGATCTGATTGTAGAGGTACCAAATGACAGGCTGAGTTTTGACACTATTCTTCTCAAATTGCAGTCCATATTTGGTCAAGGCCTTCCCTTTCCCTTACAGTTTCTTCTTTGATTCTAGTGTGCTTACAGAGCTTGTGTTTTCACTGGGCCACAGGGCAATGGACTAAGGTATTCTCTAAGATCTGCCCAGGCCAGAGTTAGAGTCATGTGCTCATGTGCTTTTTTGGGTCCAGTCATGAGCCTGAACTCTGGGCCTGGGCACTGTCCCTCAGCTCTTCAGCTCCAGGCTAGCACTCTACCACTTGAGCCACAGCGCCACTTCCGGCTCTTTTTTCTGCTTATGTGGTGCTGAGGATCGAACTCAGGGCCTCATGCATGCAAGGCAAGCACTCTACCACTGAGCCACCTTCCCAGCCCAGCCACTTCCGGTTTTTTTTTTTTCTTTTTGCTTATGTGGTACTGAGGAATTGAACCCAGGGCCTCAGGCATGCAAGGCAAGTTCTCTACCACTGAGCCACCTTCCCAGCCCTCATATACTCATATTTTAAAGAGCCTTTCTGCTGTTGCACCTTCTGGTCACTTCTAGTTCAGAACTATAAAATAATGTGAGACCCTCCCACCCCAGAAGAGTGCAGTAAGTCTTAACCTAAAGGAAGCTTCTGTATTGTAGAAGGAACAAACACAATCCATTATGTTCTGTTTGTCAGTCAGCATCAAGAACATTACTAATTTGTCAGTAGCCTTAGGATAAATGCAACCTTGGAAGTAGCAAAATAATTTTCCTCTTTCATTAGCTTCATCCACTTAGTAAATCTTACCTGGCTAGAGATAGCCAATAATGAAATATGGTAAGACCAGACACCCTGGTGCCACCCTTCTATCTCTAGAGGAGTTTCAATTACTGCTAATACTTGCCAGCTAATTAATCCTCTGTGTCAGTGTTGCTAAATAGCAGCTTAGAGAGCAAGATTTCCTCAGAAGTTTCTGACCTGTCTCTAGAACATCTTAAAATTATTTTACCACACTAGCAGTCACTATGTACTTTGAGCATTCCTGGCAGGGGAATCTTTTCAGAAATGTATTAATCTGGCAGCTGTATAAACCTTTGTGGGATTTAGATCTTATACCACCTGGATCCTGTCTTGGTGCTCAGGAAATGTTTCATTCGCCAGGCTTTGGTCAGAAGCCCATCCTTGAAATTGGGAAAATGGAATACTTACACCACAGAAATAAGATGAGGGATAGATTCTACTTTGAGAGGGACAGGGGAGAATTACTGATAAGAAGACACTTGGAGAAGCTGGGAAGGTGGTTCAGTGGTAGAATGCTTGCCTTGCATGCATGAGGCCCTGGGTTCGATTCCTTAGCACTACATAAGCAGAAAAAGCCAGAAGTGGCCACAGCTAGCCTTGAGCTGAAGAGTTTAGGGACAGCAAGCGCTGAGGCCCAGAGTTCAGGATCCACACGGGTCAGTAAGAATCGAATATGTCCATTGCATATGAAGTTTTGTGCTTATAAAGCTTGCCTTTTTCTGAGTGTGTGGGACTAGGTGTGTTTAAACCCGGGGCCTTGTGCTGACTAGGCTAGTTTGGTTCTGCTGAACCACACTTCCAGCAGTTTTTCTCTGGTTATTTTTAGGGTATGGGCTGGCTTCTCATCCAAGCGCACATCTGAGACACAATCCCCCTACCTTGCTTTATTGGTCAGTCGTGGGGTCTGAACTCTGGGCCTGGGTGCTGTCCCTGAGCTCTTCAGCTCAAGGCTAGCATTCTACCACTTGAGCCACAGCTCCACTTCCAGGTTTTTTTGCTTGTGTGGTGCTGAGGAATCGAACCCAGGGCCTCATGCGTGCAAGGCAAGCACTCTACCACTGAGCCACCTTCCCAGCCCAACTTTCTTTCTTTCCTTTTTTTTTTTTAAATGGGCCAATATGGGACTGGAACTCGGGGGTGGAAGGGTACTGTCCCTGAGTTTTATTGCTCTCTACCACTGGAGCCACAGCTCCAATTGCAGTTTTTCTGTGATTAATTGGAGGTAAGAGTTTTATGGACTCTTAGCCAGGCGCTGGTGGCTCACGCCTGTAATCCTAGCTACTCAGGAGGCTGAGATCTGAGGATCGCGGTTCAAAGCCAGCCCGGGCAGGAGAGACCGTGAGACTCCTATCTCCAATAAACCACCAGAAAACCAGAAGTGGCTCTGTAGCTCAAGTGGTAGAGCGTTTGCCTTGAGCTGAAGAGCTGAGGGACAGCACCCAGGCCCAGAGTTCAAGCCCCACGACCGACAAAAAAAAAAAAGAAGAGTTTTATGGACTCTTCTGAAGGCGCTTTGAACTGAGATCCTCAAATCTCAGCCTCCTGAGTAGGATTATAAGCATGAGCCACCAGTGCCTTGCAATCCCCCTGCTTTTAGGCTTTCTGTTGTCCTTGAAATCACAGGTGCATGCCACTGCATCCAGTCTCCCTCAGTAAAGATGAAATCTCCAAACTTTTCTGCTCTAGCTGGCCTCAAACCTTAATTCTCCCACTCTGTCTTCAAGTAGCTAGGATTGCAGATGTAAGCCTGAACATACACAGCACCAAGCACTTACAATACTTTCTATCTATAGTAATCCCCTTAAATCAGATCCAACTTTAGAGCTAAAGTAAACCTCAGAGGTTATCTATTCCAGAAGACACACTTTATGCTTATGGGTACTGAGGTTCAGATTTATCTAATTAGTGATTAGAGCAGCAGCTAGAGTTCCTATCTAATCTTATCTCTATTTCATCTTTATTCTGAAGAAAAATTTTGGAATGTGAATTATTACCTTCTGCTAATGCTGAGGTGTCTTCTTGTTCTCATTGAATTTTCCTCTTGGCTTTGCTTGGAAGGAGGCAAATACAATACTTGACACTAGTAGTGCTGTTAACAGGATTCTGCTGTGATGTACATATAAGGAGACCTTCCAGGACTGTGGCTCTCTGGAGAGCTTGTTTTGGAGTGCTTGACTAACATGAAACTTGCTGATATCAGTTTGTATTACTCATTGTGTCCTTCCCAAGTTCGGATCACAGTCATAGTCATTTATCTTCTGACAGCCTAAGACAATGTAAGATAGGTCTCATAGAAGGTATAAAAGAGTTTTCAAGTAAGAATCACTTCCAGTGTACCTCAGAATTAATAATGTTGTCCTAGTGTTCAGACTCTTCAAGCCTCAACCAGAATGTTTTCTTCCATTTCTTCCCCCAACCCCTGCTCAAGGTTGTTCTCTCCCATTAGTAGATTTTCTATTGATGGAGTAGCAAATGTAAATGCCAGTTGCGAAACACTATATAAAACCTAATGCAAAAACACTGTGAACAGTGTCAGATAAAGGAGGTGATAGCACTGTGTTTACATGTATTCACAGTCACTGTTTACATGTATTCATAGTCTCTCTACATCATAATGAGGCAGTCTGGATACCAGATGAGGTGGGAAGCACCAGAGAACCATGAAAAGCTGCTCTCCTCTGAGATTATTTAAAGCTCAGTTTTATCAGGAATCCCAGAAGAAGCAGAGGTTATATGAAGTATTTAGAACTAATAATAAAATATAGATAATATATAGCTCTGATTCTTTTCCCTTTGCAAGCCAAAAGTTAAGTCTGTTTCTTTAAGCTAGGCTTTGGCTTTCATTATCTAGACTGGTTTTTCATAGGCTTTGGCCCTATCAGAACCTTCACCCACTGGAGGATTATGAGTAGGAGAGCCGTTCTAAACACTGTTACGGAAAGCATTAACTCTGCTGAGAAGTTGGTTTCAGGACTGGGAATGTGGCTTAGTGGTAGAGTGCTTGCCTCACATGCATGAAGCCCTGGGTTCCAATTCCTTAGTACCACATAAACAGAAAAATCTGGAAGTGGTGCTGTGATAGAAAGCCTAGCCCTGAGCAAAAGAAGCTCAGGGACAGTGCCCAGGCTCTGAAAAAACCCAGTGCTGGCTCAAAAGTAGTTGGTTTCTTTTAGAAAACAAAATGGTTTGAAAATCATACCAGTAATCATTAGCCCATGAATTGAGAAACCTTGAGGGGTAGGGGAACATACTGCAAAAGGTTATTTTAAACTACAAGAAAGAAAGTGTCCAAACATTTTTTATCGCTTTCTTTGATTATTCCTCTCTATATTTAAGAATTTGCTTCTGTAGTGAGTGCAAGGAGTGAACCTGTTAGAGCCCTTGCCTCACATGTGAGTCTCTAGATTCATCCACAGACAAATCAATGATGCTTTTCACCTGCTCTGTCCCCTGCCACTCATAACTATAACATAGAAAGTTTCTAAGTTCTATGGTTCCTTGGGTCATCAAAGCCATCTATTCCCTCAGTATAAGGGGATCAGATAGGGCTACACATGCCTGTCACCACTGAGACAGTTAATGAGGAGTCTGTGCTAAAACAATTCAGGTGGAACCAGCAAAAGCAATGGCATCCTTTCTTAGAAGTTTGTGTAAGTTCTTAAGTGTCTAGAGCTCCTTTTTAGCACCTTTATAGTAATAGTTCCATGATCGACATGGTATGCTTGCTTCATATATTTGACATGCTTACCTTAGATGTGGCAAAGGCTTCCATCTTTGTTCCCCCACCACTAAGCACATTTGGATTTCCCTTCTCTTGCCAAAACATTAAGAATGAACGACTTACAATAGCCACCATTTTTTTATAGGATCAGTTTTCATTTTTCATTGGCTCTTTTGTGCTCTGACCTATAATAAAACATCATGCAATATAAAAGTTTTCCTTAAACATTCAATTTTTTTATATTGTTTTACAGCCTTCTCTTCCTGTACTCTACACCCTGTCTAGCCAGGCTACACATGAAGCTGTTCATCTACTTTGCAGGATGTTGGTCTTTGATCCAGTAAGTAGTGTTTGTTTTCATATATCTAAATGAATTTTAAAAATACACATGTTCGCCATTCACTGGTAGCTCACACTTGTAATCCTAATTATTCAGGAGGCTAAGCTCTGAGGATCATGCTTCAAAGCTATCTAGGGCAGGAAGACCATAAGACTCTTATCTCCAATTAACCTCCAGAATTCCAGAAGTGGCGCCCAAAGTGGTAGAGTGCCCAGCCCTGAACAAAAGAGCTCAGGGATAGCACCCAGGCCCTGAGTTCAAGCCCCACAACCAACAAGGAAGAAACAAAACAAAAAAAAAAAACACATGTCCTGAGAAAAACTTCCTGGTTTGAACATACTAGGAATGTAAATAATGACTTGTTCTATCCCAGTCTCATGTTTCTCAGGCTCATTTAGTACAGAAGTTTGAATATTAATGTTTAAGGCCCTAAATGAAGACAGAAGGAACGGTACCATTCTTATTTATCTCTGTAAAAGCCTTGACACCAAGTTAAATCAGAAGAAAAAAATTTAAAGATTATTTGAAAAAAAATCTGCCCATTTTAAGTTATATAAGAAAATATTTTGAGGGTTGTCAAAATCATAGGTTTGGGTTGTTTTTTTTTTTTTTTTTTTTTTTTTCTTTAGCATTACTATGGTTTGAATTCAGGGCCTATCGCTTGCTAAGCAAACACTCTACCACTGAGTCACTCATTCAGCCCTCGTTTACACTGGCTATTTTTGAAATGTGGTCTTGCTTCCTGCCTGGGCCTATTCTAGGATCACAATCCTCCTATTCATTTCCTGACATAACTGAGATAGTCACACCATTCCACCAAGCTTCTTCCACCAAAATTAATAAAATTACATTTGTCTGTTTATATAATAGGAAAAGAGTAGCTTTCTCTATTGACTGTCAAATCCATAAGAGTCTTCACTAACGAATGCTAGGAATTTATTTTTAAGTTCTGGCTGGGAGCTGGTGGCTCACACCTGTAATCTTAGCTACCCAGGAGGTTAAGATCTGAGGATCACAGTTCAAAGCCAGCCCCAGCAGGAAAGTCCATGAGACTCTTATCTCCAATTAACTACCAAAAAAGCTGGAAATGGAGCTGTGTCTCGGGCGGTAGACCAACAGCCTGAGCAAAAGAAGCTCAGGGACAGAGCCTAGGCCCTGAGGTCAAGCCCCAAGACCAACACCAAAAAAGAAAAAAAAGTTTGAGATTGAAGTCTGTGAAAAATACCTTTATTATATGGAAGACCAGACTAATCAGTGTGAGCCAAGTTATTTTCATGGCATCTCATAGTCCAAAGTGTATTTTTGTTTTGTTTTGTTTTGTTTTTTGGGTCCGGTCTTGGGGCCTGAACTCTGGGCCTGGGCGCTGTCCCTCAGCTCTTCAGCTCAAGGCTAGCGTTCTACCACTTGAGCCACAGTGCCACTTCCGGCTTTTTTTCTTTTTGCTTATGTGGTGCTGAGGAATCGAACCCAGGGCCTCAGACATGCAAGGCAAGCGCTCTACCACTGAGCCACCTTCCCAGCCCCTTATTTTTGTTGTTGTTATGGACATAGTTTGTTTTTATTGTTGACTTTTTTTTTTTAGTATATGCAAGCATTTGAAGTCGTAATTGTTACTTGTACCATCTCCTTAAGGTCAGGTTCCCACCATCAAAGATAATTTACACTTGAGTGATGACTTAGTGATAAAATATCATTAGTGTGATATAATATCATTAGTGTGAATCTTTTTCTGCAACTTTGTCAACATAAATGGCAATTAATACCTAAAGGATTTCCTTTTATATGGTTAACAAAACCAGTGCCATGTGAAATTCGTACTTCAAAGGTAATTTCTGTCTTTGCATGGAGGATTTTGTCACGTTAAATGCTAATTTATATATTAGAAACATTTATTCTCTTTTTGAGTTCTAGTTAGTTTAAGAACCAAAAACCATGTAATTTACATGTCAGGTTTGCTTGCTTTACTTATAGCTATAAGGTATCCACTTCCTCTGAAATGCTTACCACTCAGGAAATCTTAGTAGCAAGAATCAAGAACATTTTTCTGAGAGTCTTTTCAAATGAAATATAGTTGTTATTCCTTAATAATGGGATTATTCACATAATTAAATGAAACTTGCAATGGTTCTAGTTACAAAGATTTATTTGATAAGGAAGAAAACATTTGTTTTTCTTTGTGCTAATAATTGAACCTAGAGCCTTACTAACACTGATCTACATAAAAGACATATTAATGAGTCTACATTAATACATTTTCATTAAAAATATATATTCACAAAAACAAAAGTATATGTGCATATGAATTTAGTTAAGGCACACTACTTAATAATTAACTATTTTCATCATTGTTTTCTAGAGTAAAACCAGTCATTTTTGAGGGAGGGTGGGGTTTGAATACAAGGCCTTATGATTGGCAGGCAAGTACTCTACCACTTAAGCCATAGCTCACCCTTCTTACTTTAGTTATTTTTCAAGTAGGATTTTGGATTTATGACTGAGCTATACTGGACCATGATATTCCTACTTACACTTCCTATTTATGGCTGGGAAAACAGGTGCCTAACCAATTTTTTGGTGGGGAGGGAGTCAGTCGTGGGGCTTGAACTCTGGGCCAAAGCAAGCACTCTACCACTTGAGCCACAACGCCACTTCCAGTATTGTGATGGTTAATTGGAGATAAGAGTCTCATAAACTTTTCTGCCTGGGCTGGCTTTGAACCATGATTCTCAGATCTCAGCCTCCTGAGTAGCTAGGATTACAGGCGTGAGCCACCAGCACCTGGCTAACCAATACTTTCTAACTTTGTTGGTACCCGTTACTATTATTCTTCAGCTGGCCTGATGTTCTGTTAGTTTATAATCTATATTAAAAATTCTTTTTAGTCCTAAGAGTTCATTTACAACAAGAAAAGAGTTTTTAATTCTTGTTTTAACATGGTACATTGAGAATTAGCAATAGATTAATACATACACACCTATAATCCTACGTACTTGGAAGGCAGAGATAAGAGGATTGTTGTTTGAGGCCAGCCTCTGCAAGAGTTAGTATTCAGGTATGAAAAATCAAACTAAAAACCAAAGAACCAGGGATGTGGCTCAGATGGTAAAGTCCATGCCTAGCAATTACATGGTCCCTCAGTTTAATCCCCAGTACAAAACTTAAAAAAAAAAAAAGAGCGAGAGAAAGAGAGAGAAGGAAGGGAAGGAAAAAGGAAATGAGACTTTTAAAAATATATATCCTACCAAAAACAAACAAACAAACAAACAAAAATATATATCCTTGGAAGTGGGACTGTGGCTCTAGTGGTAGAGTGCTTGCCTAGAGCTGAAGAGCTAAGGGACAGCACCCAGGCCCAGAGTTCAAGCCCCATGACCAATAAATAATAATAATAATAATATATATCCAAGCCGGGCGCCGGTGGCTCATACCTGTAATTCTAGCTACCCAGGAGGCTGAGATCTGAGGATTGCAGTTCAAAGCCACCCCGGGCAGGAATGTCTCCAATAAAACCACTCAAAACCAAAAGTAGCACTATGGCTCAATTGGTTGAGGCCAGAGTTCAAGACCCAGGATCGACAAAAAAAAAATCCAGGCTGGGTACTGGTGATTCATGCCTATAATCCTAGCTACTAAAGACCCTGAGATCTGAGGATCATAGTTCAAAGCTAGCCCAGGCAGAAAAGTCCTGTAACACACTTATCTCCAATTAACCACTCAAAAACCAGAAGTGGTACTGTGGCTCAAAGTGGTAGAGCACTGGCTTTGAGCAAAAGAGTTCAGGGACAGTGCCTAGGCCTGGAATATAAACCCTATAATGTATATATATATATATTATATATATGAAATATTACACATATAATATATTAATATTGTATATTATATGTAATATAATATAATATATATTATATGTAATATAATACAAACATAATATAATATTAATATTATATGTATAATATTTCATGTATATTATATATAATATATGTTGTAATATAATATAACATTATATATGTAATATAATATAGCATTATATATGTAATATATTATATATATATATATATATTATACCCATAAAAGCCAAGCACCAATGGCTCATACCTGTAATCCTAGCTGCTCAAGGAGGTCTGAGGATCAAGGTTTGAAGCAAGCCCGTACAGACAAATCTGAAACACATTTTTCTTTTTTTTGGGGGGGGGAGGTGGGGGTGTGGTCATGGGCCTGAACTCTGGGCCTGGGTGCTGTCCCTCAGCTCTTCAGCTCAAGGCTAGCACTCTACCACTTGAGCCACAGCGCCACTTCCAGCTTTTTCTGCTTATGTGGTGCTGAGGAATCAAACCTAGACCCTCATGCATGCAAGACAAGCACTCTACCACTGAGCCACCTTCCTAGCTCCTGAAAGATTCTTACCTCCAGTTAACTAGCAAAAACTGAGAAGTAGAGGTGCAGCTCAAATGATGGTGTGTTAGCATTGAGTATAAAAGGCAAGCAGTTGCTCAAGGCCCTGAGTTCTAGTCCCAGTACTGGCATTCATGCACTTATATGTGTATGCACACACACACACACACACACACAAATCATTAAAAAATAAAATAACTGTTTAATTCATTTAGTCTGAGGTAACTAATTCTCATTTTGTGGGCCTTAGGATAAGCAGTAGATCACAGTCTATATTCGTGGCATATACACTAGACTAAAAGTGTATTTACTCATTTATTTATTTTTGTTGCTGGTGGAGTTTGAAGTCAGAGCCTACACACTGTCCCTGAGTGCTTCAGCTCAAGGCTAGTGTACTACCACTTTGAGCCACAGTGCCACTTCCCATTTTCTGTATTCAGAATAATTAATTTAATTTAATAATTAAGTGGTTAATTAGAGATAAGAGCCTCAAGGACTTTCCTGCCAGAGCTGGCTTTGAAAACTGTGATCCTCAGATATCAGCCTCCTGAGTAGCTAGGATTACAAGCATGAGCCACCAACACTTGGCTGAGAAGCATATTTCTATATGCTGTTCCCTGTATACTTCTGTGTTTTTTTCCAATGGCAATAGTCAGTGGTACTAGATACAGTTTGGGGTATCTCTCTCTAAAGCTTCTATACAAGTATAAATTCTTAATCTTTAACTTGTAGCAAGAATATAAAAATACAAGGAAAAATCATAAATCACCAGCAGATGATAAGATTAAAATGCTCTTCTTTTCTCTTTCTTTTCTTTTCTTTTTCTTTTTGGTTGGTTGTGGGGCTTTAACTCTGGGCTTGGGCCCTGTCGTGTGCTCTTCAGCTCAAGGTGAGCACGCTACTGCTTGAGCCACAGCGGCAATTCCAGTGTTTCTAATGGTTTATTGGAGATGAGTCTCACGGACTTTCCTGCCTAAATGAAGTATATAATTAAATAATTTACTCCTGCAAAGTGGAGAAAGCATCAAATAAATCTATAAACTTATCAAAAATCAATAAACAATTAAAAGTAATATTTTTATTTATTATTTTGTCAGTCATGGGGCTTGAACTCAGGACCTGGGTGTTGACCCTGAGCTCTTTTGCTCAAGGTTAACACTCTTCCACTTTAAGCCACAGGGTGCTGGTGGTTCACGCCTATAATCCTAGGAGGCTAAGATCACGGTTCAAAGCCAGCCAGGGCAGGAAACTCCGTGAGACTTTTATCTCCAGTTAACCACCAGAAAACCAGAAATGGCACTGTGGCTCAAGTGGTAGAGTGCTAGCCTTGAACCAAAGAGCTGAGGGACAGCACAGAAGCCCCAGAGTTCAAGCCCCACGACTGACCCAAAAAAGGAGGGGGAGAGAAGGAAGAAAGGAAAGGGAAAGAAAGGAGCTGTTGATATAGTTGTGCACACCTGTCATTCCAACTATGGCAGTAAGCATAAACAGGAGAAGCACGGTGCAGTCTGGTGTGGGCAGAAAGCAATACCCTGTCTCAGAAATAACCAGAACAGGGCTGGGATGTGGCTTAGTGGTGGAGTGCTTGCCTAGCGTTCATGAAGCCCGGGGTTCAATTGCTCAGTACCACATAGACAGAAAAAGCCACAAGTTGCCTTGAGCAAAAGAAGCTCAGGGACAGTGCACAGGCCCTGAGTTCTAGCCCCAGGATTGGCCAAAAAGAAAGAACGAACCAGAACAAAAAAGGCTAGAGGAGTGGAATTTATGAATTAGTAAGCCTAAAGTGAATGTTTTAAATATCCTGCTCTAAAGTCTCAGAAAACCACAAAATCAGCACGCCTGATACTCAGCCAGAGTTGCTTCTCACAACAGGACATTGAGACCAGTATCTGCTGTTTCCAGCAGCATGCGTATATGTGCCTGTGGGTGCCTGCCCACACACTGGCCCTTGGGCTTGAACTCAAGACCTGGGTGCTGTCCTTAAACTTTTGGGTGCAAGCTTAGCACTCTGAGACTTAAGTCATAGCTCTACTTCTGACTTTCTGGTGATTGATTGAAGGGTCTCATGGACTTTCCTGCCTGGGCTGGCTTTGAACCATGATCCTCAGATCTCAACCTCCTGAGAAGCTAGGATTACAGGTGTGAGCCAGACTCTAGCAGGTTTTCAATGTGCTTTTTTACTTTAGTCTATTTCAGTATTCAAAAAGAATAAGTTTCAAGCAGCTTTGCAAAATTGTCAGCATGATAATCACATCTCTAAATGCTGACACATATTTAGGAAAAAAATATAGCTTGTTATTTAAAATGTAAGCTTATCCCCTACAAAGCAGTACACATCTAAATGTCGTGATATTTGTCATTTATGATCCTGCATGCATTTATTTCAGTGTAGGAACTTTTCAGAATTTTAGCAGAAGGGCACTTCTCAGGGGTTTATGGTGGTAGATAAAACAGTCGTTGTTTGCCTAGGTCCTATGTGCGCTGTATTATGATGCCATCACCACTGTTCTTGCCCCCCTTTGAAGAGAATGTTGTACATATTAAGTGTCAGCTGTGTAAAGTAGTAACTGCTTGTGAAAGATTCTGTGTGGACAGTCGTGCTTATCTGCAGTGTTGATGTACTGGTCTCTAAATTTAATTTCAGTCAAAAAGAATATCCGCTAAGGATGCCTTAGCCCACCCCTACCTAGATGAAGGGCGACTAAGATACCACACATGCATGTGTAAATGTTGCTTTTCCACCTCTACTGGAAGAGTTTATACCAGTGACTTTGAGCCCGTCACAAATCCCAAATTTGATGACACTTTTGAGAAGAACCTCAGTTCTGTCAGACAGGTTAAAGGTAAGTTTTTTGTTTTCTGTGGGTTTTTTTTGGCATTTGGCCAGGCAAGATGACTAGTAACATTTTTTCCTATATGATAACATTCCTCCATGTGTTTACTTTAGAACCCGTGGCTGTTTGTCTCAGGTCTATGTGTCAAGCAAGCTACGTGTGTTACCAAAATGCTGATTTAATACTATACTCAGGGAAGATTGGGCAGAGGAATGCATGTTTTGTTTTTATTTTTCAAGTTTTGATAAGTACAACTCAAAATACAACTAATTTGTATTCCCTCCATGTCATTTCATTGAAAGAAACCTATTGAACTCCTTTATATAACACACAAAGTTTTAAAAGCAATAATAATTCATTAATGTAATCACTCCTTCAATGTTGACCAAGGAAAGGAATTTCTGATGATTTATTCATAAAATTAGGTGGGGTGCTCTTCTGTTGTGGTGAGGGCAATGGCATCCAAAATTCTGAATGATTTCCTGTTTGCTGTAAGTGAGTAGGCCACAGAGCCTAAACACCAGCAAAGGCTTAAAGGTGAGCTTCAAAAACTTACAGCAGTTAGAGTTCACCTCTAATTCCACCTGTGTGGGCTGTCTCAGATTCCTACTGGCAGCGTTTCCAGCTTGTGTAATGGCACTGTAAGGGCTTTTTTTTTTTTTTTTGTCTCATTCTTTTTATTTTACCTGTGTTTAGCCACAACTGTCATCTTAATTTCAGGAAAGTTTAGTTGAATTCTGCTTGTTAGAAGATATATATGTCTGCTTTAATCTAAACCAGCAGAAATTACAGATGCGGGCTAGTTACCTGTGAATGCACTACTACAAGGCCTGCGCCTTGGCTATGGGTTTATGCTGCTTGCTCTCTCCACAGAGATTATTCACCAATTCATTTTGGAACAGCAGAAAGGAAACAGAGTGCCTCTCTGCATCAACCCTCAGTCTGCTGCTTTTAAGAGCTTTATTAGGTAACTATACGTGATTCTGGGATTCTTCTTAGATTAGAAGGATACCCCTGGGTTTTATTATTTAGTACCTATATGTTTTTATTGAGAGAGATACAGGTCCAACCAAATGTTTATCTTAGGAACTTTGGCTTTAGTCAAAGATAGACTAAAAATAGAAGCATCTGTTTTGTTTTTGTTTTTTTTTTTGGGGGGGGGGGATCCGGTTGTGGGGCCTGAACTCTGGGCCTGGGCGCTGTCCCTCTTCAGCTCAAGGCTAGCGCTCTACCACTTGAGCCACAGCATCACTTCTGGTTTTTTCTGCTTATGTGGTGCTGAGGAACCGAACCCAGGGCCTCAAGCATTCAAGGCAAGCGCTCTACCACTGAGCCACCTTCCCAGCCCAAAGCATCTGTTTTTACACGGTGTAGATTCAATTTGGTGGTTTGGCCATTTTGTCCTTGTGACCACACTGATGCCTGACCATGAACACATGGAACCCTCAGTGAGTAACAGCCCCACCTTCGAGTCAAGCATAGTTCTCTCAGTGCCACTACCATTGTCACACTCTTTGTTTTGTTTTGTTTTTTGTCGGTGTGGGGCTTGAACTCTGGGCCTGAGCACTGTCCCTCAGCTCTTCAGCTCAAGGTGAATGCTCTGCCACTTGAGCTACAGCGCCACTTTCAGTTTTCTGGTGGCTTATTGGAGATAAGAGTCTCCAATAGACTTTACTCCAAAAGACTTTACTGCCGGGGCTGGCTTTGAACCGCGATCCTCAAATCTCAGCCTCCTGAGTAGCTAGGATTACAGGCGTGAGCCACCAACGCCCAGCAATTGCCACACTCTTAATAATAACCAAAAGCAAAAACGTTTGGTTAGGGCTTGATGTTTGTTTTGAGATAGTCTTGCTACATAGCCCAAGTTGGACTCAAACTCTTGATCCTCCAGCCTCACCTTCCCAACTGTTAGGATTACAGGTGTGTGCCTGGTTTGGAAAAAAAAATCTGTACCTCACCTTTATAACAATCCAAAAGGAAGTATTTTAAAATGGCTAGACTGCTAATGTGGACTATGTAGAGGAAAGGCCAAGATGCTTTTGGGAGACCTATGAACTTAATTACTTTGGAACCTAGCAAGCTTTATTCTCTTTGTCCTGTTCTTCCCTTGATCTCTTCTTATAACTTATGTTAGGGTCCATTCAGGAAAAAGAAACTACTTTAGTAGTTTGAAACTACTTTAGTAATATGAATGGAGAAATTTTAATAACAAGAATAAATTAACTAGGGAAAGATGGCTAACTTCTAAAAGACATATGAAGATTCTGAAGTGTCTTGAAGTGTCAGGTCTTGAAAAGTCCTGCAGAAAGCAGGTGTTTGAAGTAGGCTGAGGGAAAATGGACAAGGAAGAAATTAAGAACTTAGAAGAGGCCCCTCTAGGGGCTGCAAAGGTAGCTCAGTGGTAGATCGCTTGCCTTGCATGCCTGAGGCCCTGGGTTCGATTCCTCAGCACCACATAAGCAAAAAGAAAAAGCCAGAAGTGGCGTTGTAGCTCAAGTGGTAGAGTGCTAGCCTTGAGCTGAAGAGCTGAGGGACAGTGCCCAGGCCCAGAGTTCATGACCGAACCCCCCCCCCCCCCCAAAAAAAAGGATCAGAGAAGAGGCCCCTCTACCCAGGAAATCTCTTTGGAGAGGGTATGGCTCCCACAAGGAGCACGCAGAAAGAGGGAGAAGTCTGACAAAAGGGAAGGCACTACTGGTCCATTAAAGAGGCCTGCTGGATTGTAGAGAAATTTGCCAGAGTTCAGTAGACCAAAGTTGAGCTTTCCACATTTGTTTTTTAAAGGTAACTTCATTGGCTCACACCTGTAATCCTATCTGCTTGGGAGGCAGAAATAAGAAGGATCAAAGTTCTAGATCAGCCTGGGTAAAGAGTTAGCTAGACTCCACCACAGCCAATTGTTGGGTACAGTGGTACACATTTATCATCCCAGTTTTCAGAAACATAAAAGGATGTGGTCCAGATCAGCACAAAAAAAAAAGAAAAAGAAAAGAAAGACCTTGTTTGAAGCATAACTAAATCCAAAAGGGCTGCATATAGATAGATAGATAGATAGATAGATAGATAGATAGATAGATAGATAGATAGATAGATAGAGCTCAAATTGTAGAATATCTTCTTTTTTTCTTTTTCTTTTTTTTCTTTTTCCCAGTTATGAGGCCTGAGCTCTGGGCCTGGGCACTGTCCCTCAGCTCTTCAGCTCAAGGCTAGCACTCTATCACTTGAGCCATAGCACCACTTGCGGCTTTTTCTACTTATGTGGTGCTGAAGAATTGAACCCAGGGCCTCATGCATGCAAGGCAAGCACTTTACCACTGAGCCACCTTCCCAGTCCTTGTAGAGTATCTTCTAAGCAATTACGCAGCCTTAGGCTGAAACCCCAGTATTATTTTAAAACATGAAGAAGCAGGAAGGGAAGCTGCTGCCTGCTGCTACTGTCTTGCGGCACTGTTCCAGTGCCCTCTGTTGGCAAAGACAAACATTAGCCTAAGTAGCAAAGGAGACCTGCTCACCTAGCAGGACAAAGGGTGTGTTTGAACTGGTGAGGCCACAATCGCTTTTCCTCCCCAACTGCCTTTCTCCTTTTCCCTTCTTCCTGTTTCTCTTTTCTTTCCCTGCATGATATTGAAATCGTTTGAATTTATTGACCCAAATTCAAAATTTTTTGTTTAAAATTAGTATTTTTTGCTGGGCACCGGTGGATCACGCCTGTAATCCTAGCTACTCAGGAGGCTGAGATCTGAGGACCATGGTTCAAAGCCAGCCCGGGCAGGAAAGACTGTGAGACTCTTATCTCTAATAAACCACCAGAAAACTGGAAGTGGCGCTGTAGCTCAAGTGGTAGAGCACTCGCCTTGAGCTGAAGAGCTGAGGGACAGTGCTCAGGCCCAAAGTTCAAGCCCCATGACCGACAAAAATAAATAAATAGATTAATTAATTAATTAATATTTTTTGTTTCTTCCATTTTTTTTCCCTATAGAAAGTAGGCATTCCTTTGCAGTTTGACTTCTGTGGTTTAACATTACTTTATTTAATCCTTTCCCCTAAGAGTCAGTGACCTGGTGAGTGAGATGTTTCAGCACCTGTTCTCCTGGGCCCTGGTGAGGGAAAGTGATTAGAAACCCCTTCTAATTGGCAACCTTAGCCCGGGAAGTAGCTGTGCCAGCTCTGTGTATGGATAACCAGCTGAACAATCATCATCCCATCCCACTAAGACTTGAAAGGAGAATGCATTATGAGGTTCCTTCAAAATAGGTCCCCACACTTAAGGTCACTGTGTTGAAGGACTACTTTTTAATTCTACATCCTTTAAACTTATTTTCCTGGTTGAGCATAACTATTATAAGTTAGAACCACTACCATTTGCATTATGAACTAGGTCCTATGGAAGACAGTTGACTGTACATTATATTAACCATCCATCATAGGGTCTTTTCAAAAGAGAGAACAATTAAGGAGTTTAATGAAAAGAAAGAAAAGAAATAATCAGCCCTTTAGGGGTTAAGGGTAGCTCAGTTGGTAGTGTGCTAGCCAGTGAGCAAAAGTATCAGTTACCGAGTTTGAGTCCCAGTCTTGGACCAAGAAAAGAAATTTTCACAGGAACTGGTAAGTGCCATGTTGTTCTTAAGCCTCACTGTAGGAAACAGATTGGAACAAAATCAACTTTCAAAAAGTTAAAGAAAATAAAAATCTAGAAATGGAGTGTAAAGGGAGAAGGGAACAGGCAGTTTTGTCCAGTGTGGTGCTATAACTAATTCCCCTTCTCCATTTTCTTCCAGTTCCACTGTTGCTCAGCCGTCTGAGATGCCCCCATCTCCTCTGGTATGGGAGTGACAGTGGAGGATAATGTACTACTGAAGATGTCATGTAGCTTTCCACTGGAGTCTGGGATTTGCAATTCTGGAGGTTAATCATGCTTGTACTGTAATTTTACTAATGAAGTTTTAAATTAACAACCACTACTTGTATGATATGAATAATATTTAGAAATGTTACTAGACTTTTAATCTTGTAAAGTGGTTGTGCTTTTAGAAGAAAAAAATATTTTACCCAGAGTTGCACATGTTTTATGAAATTAGTGCAGCTGTTATGGCTCACCTCAGAACAAAAGAGAATTGAACCAAATCTGAGAGTTGGGGTTTTTGTTTTCTTTTTTTATTTTTATTGAAGTGAGATTGTACACACACACACACACACACACACACACACACACACACACACACACACAGAGGACAGTCCTACATTTTGATATTTGAGCCATTCCTAAAGATTTGGTGTTTTCTAAAACTAAAGAATCTAGAAACGTTGCCTGCGACCAATCATGGAGCCACGTGAGCTAAGCGTGGCTGCGCCTGGGGGATGGGGAGGGAGGCGGGGCATGCCACCTAATGATCAAGCCCTATAATTAGCTTCTCATTAGCGCCGTGATGGTGATGTGTGCTGTCTAAAATCCAATGTTGTGGGTAGAGAGGATGAGTCTGTGACTAGGAGAGACTAAAACTTTTGTTTTTCCTTATTCAGTATAAATATATATATATATATATTTAATCTATTTTTATTAGAAGTTTTTCTGCTCTTTCTTACATAAAAGAACCCCAAGCATGCATCTTTCATGTGTGTAAATAATTCATTTCTGGGCTAATTTCAAAAGAATCCCAACATTGCTGTATAGAGAAAGAACTAGCTTGCACATTTTAGGTCTGTGAAATTTTGTGAGACTTTTCCTGCACTGGACAGTGAAAAATAATAAATAAATAATAAAAGACAGAAACAAATTTTTTAAAAGTTAAAGCCACACACACACACACACAAAAAGGCACATAGGGAATTATGTCAAATGTGTTTGTGTCCTTAGGCAAAGCTGTGGGAGTCTTGAAATGTCACAGTAGTAAATAACTTATTACTTTTTGACAAATTTCTTTTTTTTTCTGTTGGAACACTGAATTCTTCTGTGTATATGTATATATGAATACAAACTGAAGGCCTCTACCTCCTGGAGTTAGACAACTTGGCTTGTTTACCTCCACATGCTGATGATGACTATTTTTTTTTTTAAGTTCAGTGTGGAGACTTGAAACTTGAATGTCCCTTCCAACTTTTATATTAAAAATAAAAAGACAAGAAAATTGAAGATCGCTTTTCACCTGTACAAGGAGTACTAACGGATCGTCTTATAATTGGTCTAGGAAAAAAAAAACAAAACCTTGGTGTGTGTTATGGACACTTAACTGTTGAAGTTATTGTAAGTTATCTGTATTTAGCAGAGTATTTTCATCTTGAGTGATCTGAGCTGAATTTGAAGATTATTAATAAGTTATGTTTGGAAGTTTTAACTTCAATGAAGTAATTATTTGCTGTGAAAGAAACAAACATTGAATTACTAAACAAAGATGGTGCAATATCTTTGTTTTTTTTTTTTATGAGGCTCCTGAGAATCAACCCCACTGAAGCATTTCAGTTCACTTGAATGAGAAACGTGTTTAGTATCAAAAGAGCCCAAGAAGACACTGGTGTGAAAGGTACAATCTCAGAGGTTGGTCAATTACCGTGGCACACTTTCTGGTCACTTTGTACAATGTAGATTTGAAGTACAGTGGTGAAAACATTAAATGTGACATTTGAAAAAGATGAGCCATCTGTTTTATTTCCATTTCTTCCCTTTGTTTTCTCTTCAGTACAGCTTGAGTCCTGACTATGCAGAGTTTTGAGACATTTGCTATTTATATTTCTACTCTTATCTTTGAAGAAATTTGCTCTTTTTAAAAAAATCTTCCCAGAAACTTAAGATTGCCAAAAATATGAAAAACTTAATGTTACCAAAGAAGCTGTGATTTAAATATATACAATATGGGAGTCTTTCTAGACATTATAGTCTTCAGTCCTGTGATTTTTTTTTCTTTTTTTTTTTCTTTGAAGCAAAACAATCCTATTTTTGTATGAAATTTTACCCAAGTGTATTGGAGTCTAATACATTAAATAAAAAGTAGAATGTTCTGGCTGGACATAGTGGTGCATGCCTGTGATTCCAGCATTTGAAATGCAGAGACAGGAGGATTGTGTGTTTGAGTCTAGCTGGGATATATAGCTAGATTCTGTCATAAAACTAAACACAAAATGTTGGTTGCTCTGGCAGGAAGAACTTGAACCTTTCCCTCCTCTGCCTCCTGACCCTAGTAGCCCAAAGGCCCTTTAAAAAGTTCCAGCCCCATGAAGAAGCCACATTGCCTAAACCTCAGAATACTTTCCCTGAAGCTAGACAAAGTACTATAGACCCAAATCTATAGATAGCTTTTATTTCTCCCTGTTTTCTTTTTTCCCTGCCAGTTCCAGAACTTGAACTCAGGGCCTAGAGTTCTCAAGCATTTATTTTGCTCACAGATGGCATTCTACCACTTGAGCCATGCCACCAGCCCCAGCTTTTTTGCTGGTTTACTAGAGATAAAAGTCTACCAGATTTGTCTGGCTGGGCTGGCTTCTAACCTTGATCCTCAGCTCTCAGCATCCTGAAAGGAGCTAGTGGCATGAGCCACCAGAACCCTATCTTTTAAGTAAAAGAGTAACTTAATAAGAAGCCAGCTGGGCACCAGTGGCTCATGCCTGTAGTCCCCTACCTACTCAGGAGGCTGAGATCTGAGGGTCCCAGTTCAAAGCCATCCTGGGCAGGAAAAGCTGTGAGACTCTTATCTCCAATAAACCACCAGAAAACCAGAAATGGCACTGTGGCTCAAGTGGTAGAGTGCTAGCCTTGAGCTGAAGAACTGAGGGACAGCGCCCAGGCCCAGAGTTCAAGACCCATGACCGATTAAAAAATAAATAAATAAAATAAAGCCAGATGTGGCAGTGTATAACTATAATCTCAGAACTCAGACTCTCAGCTAGGGCAGAAGGATCTCAAGTTCAAGGCCAGCCTGAGTTGCATAATGAAGCCCTTTTGAAAAGAAAATTATTTAAGGAGGCCTTGACAAATCTATAAATACTTAAGAACTGTTTTTATCAGAATATTTTGAAATGCACATATAACTTTGAAACTAGTTCTTCACAAATAAACATAGAAAAAATACACTGGAACCTGCTTAGTGAACCAAGAGATTTATGCCTATTAAATTTGTTGGGAATTTTAAAATAATAGAGGTTCTAAATCCAGTAAAGTTAGTATGGACAGGTAAGTTAAGGCTGTAATTCACTGCAATTTCAGTTAAGATCCCAGAAGATAAAAATAATCTCGTTTGGGATTGGGATTTTTATATTATTTTTCCTCTATAGTGTCCTATAAAATCAATCTCTCTCTCTCTCTCTTTTTCTCTCACTCACTGAAGACTGAACTCAGGGCCTCACATATGCTAGGCAAGTGTTCTACCACTTGAACCATGAGTCTCGTCTAAAATACATTCACATTAAAATAAAAACAAGGGAGCTAGAAAGGTGGCTCAGTGGTAGAGTGCTTGCCTTGCATGCCTGAGGCCCTGGGTTCGATTCCTCAGCACCACATAAGCAAAAAGAAAAAAAAAGCCCGAAGTGGCGCTGTGGCTCAAGTGGTAGAGCACTAGCCTTGAGCTGAAAAGCTGAGGGACAGTGCCCAGGCCCAGAGTTCAGGCCCCACGACCGGACCTCAAAAAAAAAATAAATAAATAAAATAAAGTAAAAACAAGAAGAAATAGAATGTAAAATTACAAAGTTTAAAATTAAGGCAACTTGGGTTGGTTTAGTATCAACAGAGCCTCATCAGAGGCAGTTCTAAAGAGTAATACTTGTATGGAATAAAGCAGCATTTTATTTTATTTTATTTTATTTATTACCAGTCCTGGGGCTTGAACTCGTCCTGGGCACTGTCCCTGTGCTTCGTTTGTGCAAAGCTAGCACCCTACCACTTGAGCCACAGTGCCACTTCTGGCTTTTTCTTTTTATATGGTACTGAGGAATTGAAGCCAGGGCTTCACACATGCTAGGCAAGCACTCTACTGCTAAGCCACCTAGCTCCTCAAGGCTTCTTAAAAAGGACTAAAAGGGCTTGGAATGTGGCTCAAGTGGTAGAGCACCTGCTTAGCAAGTGCAAGCCCTAAGTTCTGCCAAAAAAAAAAGCAGCAGTGAAATGCCCTGGGAATATAATTCAGTTGTAGAGCGCATAGAGTATTTACATAGCATAAGTCCCTAAATTCAATCTACAATACCACCGAAAATGATGTATAAAAAGGGAAGCAAGGCTAGAAGTAATAGCAGACACCTGAAATCCTAGCACTCAGGATACTGAGGTAAAAAGATCATGAGTTCAAGACCAGCCTAGGTTGTATAACAGGATCCTGTCACTTGAAACCAGGAAACTCAGTGGTAGAGCACTTGCATAGAATATATGTTAAGGCCCTGGATTTGATCCTCAGCACCAGATAAAAAAATAAAAGGCGATCTCCAATCTAAGAATGGTGAACAAAGAAATTGGCAAAAATGAAGCAAACACAGGCTTCACAAAAAAATAGCAATCATGTCTGCTGGAGGAATAGAAGAATTTGAGAGGCATTCTTTACACTGGGAAACACACAGCCTTCAAGACAAATGAAGGCTCTCGGGAAGTACATGAGATTTTTTGAGAAACCAACTGCACTATTTTCCACCATCCCTGTTGTCCCACTTAGAAAAGACAAACTTCTTGTTGTCTCCTGTACTACTTAGAATATGGCGCAATATTCCTGGGCCTAAAAGCATTCTGGGTTGCCAAGTAGAGAGACAATGTGAGCAGTTTTATTTATATATGGAGACCTCAGGCTGGGAGGGTCGCTCGGTGCTCAGCGGTAGATTGTTTTCCTAGAATGCATGAAAGCCTGGGTTTAATTCTCAGCACTGAAAAGAATAAAATACCTCGTATATCATTCCTGTCAAATGTCATATCAGTCCTGAGAAAGTAAAGCAAAGAGAGCGTTAGGAAAAAATATTGTGTCTAGCAGTATTTTATTTCACCCAGTCAGCAAACTTGTGACACAGCTCCGTCTTTCTTATTGAGAAGTGAGATGTTGTTTGTAAAAATATAAAATGAAAGCTGACTTTTTCCAACAGAAGGTAAAATCTGTTTTGACGGCTTGCTTTGCCAATGAGGACTTTCTAGTTCCTTTATATGGGAGACATTTTCCATCATTAGAATTATCCCGAATGTGCAGCTACAAAAGTTCTGGCAAAATATATTTAAAGCAAAAGATTAAAACATATCAAAAAATATTGTGCAAATGTTGGCAAGGATGTGGACAAATTGGAACCTTTAGGCATTGCCAATGGGAATGTAAAATGGTGCAGCTGCTATGGAAAGTAATGCCAATTCTTCCAGAGAAAAAATATAAAATCAAACATAGAATTACCATTTGATCTAGCCAATTTCATTTCTGGGTATACACATGCAAGAGTTGAAAACAGTGACTCAGACATAGCTGTAACACCAGTGTTTGTAGTAGTTATTCACAATAGCCAATAGGTGGGAACAACCCCATCTTCATCAAGGGATCAATAAAATGAGGTGCATGCATACAATGGAGTTTGCAGGCTCAAACAGGAAGGGCATTCTGTGAACATGATAAAATATGCATGAACCTCGTAGACATTATGGTAAGTGACAGAAGCCAGACACAAGAACAAATACAAAGCCCCGCACTGGTGGCTCATGTCTGTAATCCTTGCTACTCAGGAGGCTGAGATCTGAGGATTGCAGTTCAAAGCCAGCCTGGGCAGGAAAGTCTGTGAGACTCTTAAATTAATGACCAGAAAACTGGTAGTGGCACTGTGGCTCATTTGGTAGAGCACTAGCCTTGAGCTGAAGAAAAAAGAACTTATGAAGATTATTGTGGTGATCTCTGGACAGCATTGTGAATGTACTTAATGCCTCTGAACTATAAAATGATGCTGTTTATTTTACCAGTATATGAACATAATTTATATACATGTAGACACCCCTTTAGCCGTCCTCCAGATGCCCCTCTTTTTTGTTTTTTGTATTTGTTGGTTATGTGTTTGTATTTGTTGGTTGCTTAAACTCTGGGCCTGAGCACTGTCCAAGCTCTTCAGCTCAAGGTAAAAGGTCTACCACTTGAGCCACAGCGCCACTTCCGGTTTTCTGGTGGATTGTTGGAGATAAAAGTTTCACAGGCTAGGTGCCAGTGGCCCTTGCCTATATCCTAGCTACTCAGGCTGAAATCTGAGAATTGCGGTTCAAAGCCAGCCCAGGCAGGAAAGTATGAAACGCGCATCTCCAATAAACTACCAGAAAACCAGAAGTGGCACTATGGCTCAAGTGTTAGAGCATTAGCCTTGAGCTGAAGAGCCGAGGGACAGCGCCCAGGCAGAGAGTTTAAGCCCCACGACCCACGACTGACCAAAAAAAAAAAAAATTCATGGACTTTAATGCCCCGGCTGGCTTTGAACAGTGGGCCACCGGCACCTGGCCAGCCCACCTCTTTTTTGCTTTATGTTTGTGGGTTTTTTGCTGTTGAAACAGTATCTTGCTGTGTGGCTTCAAACTTGTGATCCTCCAGCCTTAGCCTCCCAAGCACTGAGATTACAGGCATGTAACATCACATCCAGGTCAGTCTCTTTCTTCCTCAGTAATAAAATCATATTAAGGGGCATAAGACTCCATTAACTGTATGTGTAGA